TTTTCTAGATCTATCCATTTGCCTGAAAATTTCAATATACCATTATTTTTTACCACTGGATTTTCAAGACAGGGTTTTTCTGTGTAGCCTTCACTGTCCTGGAGCTAGCCCTGTAGACCAGGCTGGCCTTGAACTCACAGAGATCATCTGCCTCTATGGCGATTAAGGTGTGTGCCACCCCCACCTGGCTGTTTTGTGGTTGTTGTCATTGTTTGTTTAGGTTTTACAACCCACAGTACTATGGCTAAAACATTTTGCATTGGTGAGGACTTGGGCAGTGTTTATAGAGAGGTTGTATTTACTATCTTAACACATTTCTTGTCTTAGGTTTCTGTCTTGCTCAGTTCCAGCAGTTGTTAAGTCCCAAATAAATCACACAGAGGTCTACATTAGTTATAAACTGATTGGCCCATTAGCTCAGGCTTCTTATTAACTCTTATAACTTACATTAGCCCATTATTCTTATCTGCGTTAGCCACATGGCTCAGTACCTTTTTCAGTGGCATAGTCACATCTTGATTCTTTTGTGTCTGGACAGGATTGTATTCTCTTCCCAGAATTCTCCTGTTCTCCTTGACCCACCTCTAATTCCTGTCTGGTTGTCCCGCCTATATTTCCTGCCTGGCTACTGGCCAATCAGCATTTATTTAAAATATAATTGACAGAATACAGACCATGGTCCCACACCAATTCCTTTCTTACAATATTTGGGACTGAGTTTGAAAACACTGTGCTCTTCCAAATCTGTGTTTGGATCCAAGTGACCACATAGCAACTCACAGTCATCTATCTATACTCTAGTTCCCGGGGATTTGATGCCTTCTTCTGATCTCTGTGGGCACCAGGCATACTTGCAGTGCACATACATGCATGCAGGTTTAAAAAAAAAGCTCGCATACATAAGATAAATAATCTTTTAAAAATCAGAGTATACATAGACTGTTTAAAAACACACATGTCCATAACACAGGTAAATCTGATCTCATATGTGTGATTTCATTCACTTCTAAGAGCTAGTTAGTAATAAGTCTAAGCTATGGGCAGAACATTTATAGTTAATAATAAGTCTCTGTGTGGTTCTCTGGGAGTACCTGGAGGGACAGAGCTGACCAGCAGCCTAACAAAAAAACCCACCTCTACCTACAGCAGCTTCCTGTCCACACATTCTGCACATCCCCAGAACTCTGCCCTTTGACACAGAAGACAGGAAGAGCAGACATCAGCATTTGAAACACTGTGGATGGTATTCTTGAGGCATTTCTCTGTATGCCTCCCATTCCTATTCATTATTGGCACTATTTTTAATTTAAAAATGATCTACATTTTTAATGCTATGTGTCCAGAAAATATGATAAAGTTACACAAACACAAGAATGCACTAACAGCTGGTCACACATCCAAGTTCCCTCCCCAGCCATTCCTGGGAACTGGCTATAGTTATAATGCTTACCAAGAAGTTCTGGGGTTAACCATAGTGGGGTAGGTCCCTCCAGGTGGAGGCTTCCATTTTTAGAAACTACTCTTTATATTGTCTTGCACAGAATAAGCAATTCCTTTGACACCTGAGCTAATGAGAACAGGAGACAGAATTTTATTCTCCCAAGAGTACAGAATGCATCCACAATTATCTTTCCAGGGCAGAAGGTAGGCAGACGGGACACTGGACATTCTGAGAGTTGTCAGTGTTGGTGTGGCATGAAAAATAGATGAGCCCCTGTCCTTCACAGGTGATTGAAGTTGATGTTGAGTGAGACATCGCAAAAGATGTGTGGACATCTCTGGCATCAGCACCAAAACTCATGACAGCCAGAAACCCAGTTCACCTCTGTCTCCAGATCATAGAAGGTACCTGACATCATATGGCATTCAATACCTCCTGCTATCTGCTTCTTTAGAGTCTGTGTAAGGTCTCACACTCGGTCTCCATCACCCCAAACACATCCCAGCAGGTCCAGTCACATCAGACTATTATTTGCCCCAACCCTGGAACATCTATCTAAGAGCGCTCATATCTTTGCTAGGGCTTTCTTCTGTTCTTTCCTTCCTCATTCAAATGCCACCCCCTCAGGACTCAGTGCTGTAGCCTTCCTAGGGCCATTTCTGCTTCTCCAGACTCTCCCCTGATCCTTGTGGATTCACTGAGGCCTCTAGAGTGGCTTGCATTGTCTCAAACTGGCATGTCCACACGGACCCTCAGTAGGGAAGTGGTTTTAAAACAAGGTCTTTGCAGGTATAATTAGTTAAGATGAGCTCCTACTGGCTCAGAGTAGGACAAAATCTAGTGACCAGGGTTCTTAGAGAAGGCACAACAGGATAATAAGGCCATACAAAGAAAGAGAAAGAGACTGGAGTGGTTTGTCCAAAAACCAACAGGTGCCAAAGGTTGCTGGAAAATTCCAGACACTGGGAGAGGCTTGGGAAACTCTCCCTAAAAGTGTCTTGGAGGAACACACTGTGATGATCTTGGACTCCTGGCCTGCAGAAGTGGGCGAAGACAGATTTGTGTTGTCTTATGCTGCCTAGCTTGGTGCACTTTGTTACAGCAGCTGTAAGAAATGAAAACAGCCTTGCTACCCTGATGCCTTCTGTACACTGTGTGTGTGTGTGTGTGTGTGTGTGTGTGTGTCTGTGTGTGTCTGTGTGTGAATGTCAGTAGTGTACAGATACCCAAAGAAGCCACAAGAGGGCATCATAGTTCCTTCATCTGGAGTTACAGGTGGTTGTGAGCTGCCTGATGGGATTACTGGGAACCAAACCCAGTCCTTTGGAAAAGCAGCAAACGCTCTTAGTCACTAGCCCTCTCCTGGCTCCCATATGAGCCCGTGTTTGCTTATTCCATATCAGCCATGCAGGGAGAAGTGTCTGAAGTTTCTTTCAGTTGGTCTTCTGAGCGTCCCCAGATTTGTCTGCCACACATACGCATCCTCTTCAGTCCGTTTTAACAGATGCCTAACCACACTCAAGTGTGACAGCCAGACTGATTGAGCTGAAAGAGAGGGGTCACGCCGGCAGGCAGGTTCTTTAGAGGGTTACTTTTCTGTCCCCTCTGGAAAATGCCCACAGATTTGACTATATTTCTTGTAACTAGGACAAGGTATATTAAAAAATTATTGGATCAGGGCCAGAAAAAAATTGCGAACCAGAGCAAAGAAAATATCTACTTTGGTGGGTGACACAATGTTGGGTGAGATCCAGCAACGTCCTCGCAGCGGGAGCAGTGGACTGTCTCTAACAAGATGAAGTCTCATCAGGTTAATTGCTCATCCTGGTCCTCACAGCAAGACCACAGAGCTATGAGCTGCAGGCTTGAGGGAGCCTTAGGGGAGCCACCATGAGGCTCAGCTCCCCAGGGGAGGCACAGGCTGAGCCTCTGCAGCGGCAATAAGCTTTTGTCTAGAGAAAGTTGGAGATGTTGCAGAGGGGGTTCAGTCTTCAATAATTAAGAGAAAAGCAGAAAGCTTTGTACTAAAGAAGGCTTGATTGGCCGAGTGGTAAACAAAATAAATGTTAATAATTACAACAAACAGGGGTATGTGGATGCGTAGTGCCAATATACATCATAGACAGAGGTCAACCACAAGAGCCCAGGACAATAAAGCTGATTTTTAAAGAGGCAGAAAAGGGTGTCTGAGATGAAACTCGACAGAGATCCAGCAGCCTGTGGCTAGAAAGCGGCAGTAGTAATGCTGCTTTGACTTCTCCATCTCAATTCTGCACACCATAATCTCTCTCTCTCTCTCTCTCTCTCTCTCTCTCTCTCTCTCCCTCCTTGCCTCCCTCTCTCCCCCTTCTCTCTTTCTTCTCTCTCCCTCTCTCCCTCCCTCCCTCCTGCTCCTTGCTGGAGTCCAGTCACAGGAGAACAGAAACTTTGAGCTGAATCCTCAGTGCCTAGACCGGTTTGGGCCACAGCAAGGGTTCACTAAATGTCTTTGGAAGGAAAAAGAAGATCCTGTGTCTCCAAGAGCGGCTGAGGTTCTGTCGAGAGGAAGTCCATCTGCACCCCCAAGTCTTGGGATAAACCACCTATGTATCAAGGTACCCCTTCTCTCCAAAGCCACAGGGAAGTGAAAGTCAGGGCTAGAGTTGCCCATGCTCTTGCTATGGTTCATTTTAAATGCCAGGCACATCTGGGAGATGACTAGTTGATGTCCCTCATTCTCTCACCTCTTTTCCCAGGACTGTAGACCTGCCCTCTCGAAGCTGGCCGCTCTTCATCTGGAAGCTCCTTAGCTGCTTGCGTGGGATAACAACTTCCTACCCAGGCCACAGCGAATCAAGTCAGGTGCCCCATGACCTTGATCCACAGTCAATCTTTGTGGAAGGTGACCCTGGAAGCCTTGCAGTCATCCGTGCTGTGTTTGTATGTTATTTGCTTCTGGTCCCACGGTCTTGTAAGGCATTGAACAAGGACAGGAACTTGTCCTGCAAGCATGAGGACCTTAGTAAGAATCCCCAGGATGCACACTACTGCACATCGGCAGTTCCAGGGCTTCTATTGGGAGATGGAGGGAAGGAGACTAGAGTACTCAGGAATTCACAGGCCACCTTGTACGCAGTAGCAAAAAGGCACCCCATTTCAAACAAGGTGGAAAGTGAGGATGGTCACCCAAAGTTGTCCTCTGATCTCCACAAGTACCCTGGTATATATGCCTCAACACACACACAGACAGACAGACATACACACACATACACACACAGAGAGAGACATACACATACACACATGCACACATATACACATAATACAGCAGACACCACACACGCACACACCATAAACATACTGCACAATGCTACGTACACACCACACACAAACACTGAACACCCACACATGCACATAGCCCCCACATACACGCGACACACATACATGCAAGCACTTCACATACTCACACGCCGTACTCACTCATTTACATTATACACACCACACAAACATGCACACACCACACACACACACACACACACACACACACATACACACACTCTTTTTAAGTAAACAACATGTAGGATCATCCTAAGGTCTTTTATTACACGTGCAGGGTGCTATACATTTCTTTAAACTAAATGTAGCCGCAGCTGGAAGCCTCTCTTCAGTACAGTGACCCGACAGCCTGCAGAGCTAAGCTGCTTGGCGGACTCTATTAACTTCCGCTTGATTTTCCTGCATTGAAAAAAAAAAAAAAAAAACAAAATCTAGGGAGGAATCAAGATATTTTCCCAGAAATATTAGAAAACCTCCAAAGAAAGATAAACCTGAGTTGAGAAATAAATATGACCCTCCACCTCTCTCAGGGATCTGGAAAGCTAGGAAAAGCAGTGGCCCTGCCCTAGTGAGAGAGAGGCCAGGAAGCCACAGTCCTAGCAACGGCCTGCAGTTTCAGGGCAGCTGCGAATATGGAAACCCAGTGAGGTGACTGCAGCTCCCAGGTGGGACATGCACCTGCCCCCCTACAGCGCATGTGCAAGGAGATGCTGAGAATCCCACAATCAGAAGAGCATTCTTGGGCAGTTCTTGGGGACCACCAAGGCTGAGTGCAGAACCTCTGTGGACACAGGCCATGTGCACACAGTCACACACCCTTTCTACCGACCTCTAGCGAATCCTCCAAGAGAGGAGAGGGATGCAAAGGACCCCACAGACGACTTCCTTCGTGGCACCGGCTTGGAGAGAGGAGCGGCCACAGGCTCGGGAAAGTCATGCTTCCTCTTGAATATAATCCAAGAGAGAAAATAGTTGTGCTTCCTGAGAAGGTACACAAGACCAGTATCCCAGTATCTCAGCTGGGGAAAAGCTGAGGCTAAATCCCTCTGCCCACGGCTTGAGTAAGGAAGAGAGAAAAATGGGTCAGTGCTGCCAAAGTCCTCACCCACAGGAATGCAAACAGCATGTTCAAAGTCCCAGACTGAAGTCTCGAGCATACAGCTCTACCTGAGACTAAGGCACGACCAGGTTTATGTTTTCAAACTGAGTCCTAGCTGGCCTGTAAGAAACCCTGGTCTGTTTCCTGCATGGGTTCCCAGCAGGCTAGAAGCCAAGCAGTGTTGGAGTTTTGTGGCTTCACCCTGTTGCCAGAAATGGGCCTGACTACAGTATTAGCTTAAGGTAATCCAGGTACATTGTAGCCGGGATGGGGTTCTTTTAAAAGTGTGTGGTGGGAAGGGCACATGACTGCAATTGCCTAAGGAGGCCAGAGATGTTGGATCCCCAGATATAGAACTGCAGACAACCATGAGCCACGTTAAATGGATACTGGGAACCAAACTCAGGTCCTTAACTGTTACGGCATCTCTCTTGCTCCCCATAGAGCTGGGCAACCCTGCATACACCTTATCTTTTGGCCCAAAAAGTGGGTATCCAACAGTCTTGACACTACCCAGAAACATACTTCTGGAAATCCCTGATCACTGGTCCCTATAACGCTGGATCTGTCTGTCTCTTTTCTTTTGTCTTAAGGTATTCTGGGTTTGCTCTTACTACCTTGGAAGTGGGTTGCTTTGAAATGTCAAGATATCAAAAAACTTAATCACCAGACTGTGTAATTGAGTAAGTAGGCAGAAGTTTCCTGTCTTGGAACCACTCAGTCCCCAAAACCCAGCAGCTGCTTTCTAAATTACCACAGAGGCTTAATATTACTTATAAATGTTCTACCAATAACTCAGGTTTATTATTAGCTAGCTCTTGCATTTTAAGTTAACCCGTATTCCTATTTACACTCTGCCATGTGGTAGTACCTTTCCTCAGTATGGCGTGCCCATCTTGCTCTCTCTGTGTCTGGCCAGAGTCTCCTGACTCTGCCCTTTTCCTTCCCATCATCCTTAATTTGGTTGCCCTGTTACCCTTCCTGCCAATCAGCATTTTATTTAAACCAAATCAAGTGACAAATCTTCACAGCATGTAAGAGGATAGTTCCATAGCAAAGTAACAGGAAGTTAGGGTGCACACTGAAGCAGATGGGCCAGGAGGAGGTTGGCCTGCAGCAGAAGCACACAGGAATGCCCGTGCTGCGTGAGGAGCAAGGAACCTTAAAGAAAGGTTCAGTGCTTTCTTCAAGGTTCAGTGCTCCGAAGGGCACAGTGACCCAAGAGGACTTCGGGGGGAGCGGGGGCAGGGGTAGATGGAAAACAGCCCTAGCAACATGAAAACCCAGGATAACTCAGCTCCTAAGCAGAGGGACTTAAGCCCACACTAACTGTAGAAAAACACTGCCCACTCATGCAGAGTCGCCCTCTGCTCAGTCTCCATATGATGATGACATCAACATGGGAATTCCGAGATGTGAGAAAGCAAGACACAGTAATCATTTTCCAAGAGTCCAGGAGATCCACAAAGCCAGGCTCCGGTGACCCAGTTATTGCTCTTCTCATATATGAAACTTGAAACGAATATGATTAAGAAGCCAGGGCTGTGTGTAGTGTGTGAACCAATAGGGAATTGCAGAAACAAGGTCAGTGGCTACAGGAGCGAAAGGAAATGCTAGCTGCTAAAAGCTGAATCAACGGCGTCAGAGACGGACTCCTTCTCCAGACTCGCCAGCAGTTCTGAAACTTCTGATGAGAGGAGAAACAAATCTGAAGAGAGGCACCGGAAGACAAGACATGACTGAGGATGGCACCGTAATCAGCCACCTCACACACAGATACACACAGTCAGGGATGGATAAAAGAGAGAAGGGGGCGGAAGAGATATTGAGAGAGAAGGTAGCTGAGAATTTTCCAAAAATAGTGAAAGGCTTTAAACCCCAGACCCAAGCATATAGAGAAGACTCCCCTTGCTGGTGGGTGGCCTGCTCATATCTGTGGAGCAAAGCTTGCTATCTATGCTACTCCTTACACAGGTAGAAGGCTCCGAGATATGTGATCTGAAGTCCGCAGTGATGACAGAGGTCCCCGAATGTCAACAAGTCTTTTCAGGATCAAACAAGCAAACGAACAACACACAGGAAAAGGCAAGCATGAAGGACATTACACTGGGAACGAGTAAGAACTAGGTCAGAACTCTCCAGAAGTGTCCACACTGAGGGTGGAGCTTCTCTCCTCTCTGGAAACGCCCGCATACACCTCGGGGTGTGCCTCTGAATCTCCTAATTTAGAATTAGCTGATTCTAAATCCAGTTAGACTGACAAAGATGATTAACCAACACAGCCTCCTTAACTTTGAAAGCCGTAATTAAACCCAATCCACCTACCTCACTGTTCATGATACACAGGTAGTGACTGCTGAGAAGAAATACATGCGTAAACGTTGACGATAAAGTCTATTTTTAGAGAACTCTGTCGCCGTCCATCCCTCAGTTTTACATTCATTCACTCTTAAGTAAAACAGATCAACTAATGGTGAATATTTACATCAATGCCACCGGATAGCTTGCAGGTCTGTTCGAATGCCAGATGGCCGCATGTTAAATACAGCTCAAGGAGGCAGTGCCTGCAGGATGCCAAACAACCAGCCGAAAAGGGCGAGCTCCCGTCTGTTCACTTCATCAGATACCACTCTGCAAATGCTCTGGCTGCTCCTATAGCATACATGGGACGTTCCGTCAGGGTCCAATCCTCGGCAGCCTCTCCCAGGACAGTGGTACCTAGCACCACCTCTGCAGTTCCCACAGAGGTAGCAGGAGCAGAACTCTGTGCCGGGAAGCCCAAACCATTTCATCCCGATCTGTCACTAAGGAACCATATGTCCTGGGTGGGTTACTTCCCCTTCCTTGGGCTCCAGTTCCTGGGGTGTAAAGTGAGGAATTGGAATTAGTTAAATATTAGTACTTGCCATCTGTCACAGCCTAAATTTTTGATAATTGGCCATTAATTGTTTGGGAAATCATGTGTTCGTTCTGAGTTCGATGCAAAGCCAGGTAGTGAAATCAGGAAAGCTTGCCCTGACTGCCCCTGACTGCCCCCAGCTTCCCCCAGTTGCCCTGGCAACCCTGGCTATACTTTGGTGCTGCGGTTTGAATGGGTTTTGGTGTCCAATTTGTGGTGCTGTTTGGGAAGGGTGTAGATCTTTTATGGAGCAGTCCTTTCTGGAAGAAATGGGTTTCTTGGGATGACCTAGAGGTGGAATAGCCAGGTAAACCCACCTCCTGCTCACTCTCTAATTACTAACTACCAATGCAATGTGCCCTGCTGTCTCCCCCTCCTCTCTTGAATCCACCATCAACATGGACCATCACCCCTCAAGCTGGAATCCCAAACAAACTCCCCTTTAAAATGATTTTTCTTGGGAATTTGGTCACAGCAATGAGAAGAGTAACTAACACAGGAGTGGGGCCTTTAATTAAGGTGGATGCTTAGATCTCTAGGTACTCCTGCTCAGAATGGATTGGCTATCTTCCAGTGGTATGTTAGGTCTCACAGGGCTGGGCTAGTGTCTGAGAGTGGGTTTGTCAAACAAGTCCAGCTGTCTCATGGTGTGGGAGAATTGTCTGTATTCTGTCAATCATATTTTAAATAAATGCTGATTGGCCAGGCAGGACGTATAGACGGGAAAACCAGACAGGAAGTAGAGGTGGAGCAAAGAGAATGGGAGTATTCTGGGAAGCAGGAAGCTCCCTCTGCAGTTCTGCCCAGATCACGGGAGAGGCAAGATGTAAGCTACCCTGCTGAGAAAGGTACTGAGCCTTGTGGCTAACATAGATAAAAATAATGGGCTAACATAAGTTATAAGAGCAAATAAGAAGACTGAGCTAATGGGCCAATCAGTTTTATAACTTATGGAGATCTCTGTGTGATTTTCTTTGGGGCTTGCCGGCTGTGGGGTACTGGGCGGGACAGATACCCCAACAAGCCGGCCTTCATGTTACAGCCTCAGCTTGCTATCTTGCTTCTGTTCCCACCGTTGGAGCCCTCCCTTGGGTGTGTGTTCCAACTGTGTGTTGCCATCTGCCACGTGACACAGCCATATAACCCCCACCAAGTGCTGATGCCATGCCATTCAAGAGACTAAGAAGCCAACTGAACCACGCCAACAGACTCCTTCTCTTTAAACATGACCTAACCTCAGACTGCCTTTTACAGTAACACAAAACAGGGAGCTATATGGCAGCCCCCAACCCTTCAGCTCCACTCACCCCTGTTCTCACTGGCTTCCCCATCGTAACGTCTCACAGGTAAATTGCACCAAGGTGAAATGAACTGTGTGAATCCTTTCCCAACCTCGGGCTTAGCAGAGAAAGGTGAGGACACTATTGAACCGTGTTCCGTGCTGGGCTTGGATGTAACACGAGCCTGGATCACACTGAACTCTTACAGCCTGGAACACAAGCCAGTCAGGTCAACGCGACTCTTTGCCAACTTAAGTAGGGCTCCATAAATGTTAAGTATTGCTACTGTCATCAACCTATGGCAGGAATTTATCAAAATCTGACAACGATGCAAATGGTCAAAGCTCCGAGAATAAATGACTGTGGCGTCAAAGCGGAACTCTAGACCCCACATACCTTACCCTCAAAACCCAGGAAACACACAGAAGAAAGGGCAGGAAGAGTGTAAAGGCCGAAGACCAGGGAAGACTAGAGCCAGTGAGCTCTGGATGTAACAGAAACATTGTGCCCATGAACTCACAGCAGCTGTGGTTGCCTGTACAAGACCTGTACAAACTCAAGCCAGCCACATTCCCAGGGTGGAACGCGGCCACCGCAGGAGCCCCACCCAGAGCCCGGGAGCCACTGGCAGCTGGTGACTTCTGGGGGAAGAAGAGTAGTTTTCATCAGGGATGAGTCCCTGCTAGGCTGACCATGTTCTGACCATGCTGATGGATGGCTCCACAC